CTCTTATAACTTGGAAGTTACTGCTCGGATTTGGATGAAATATTTACCCAACGTCGTATTTTGACGTTTCAGAAGATCATTTTTGAATAAAATTACGGGATAAAAAATTAGGAGGAGGAGGAGGGGGGGGGGTGAAAGAGGGTATATCTCAATTTTTTAGGTTAGTATATTTATAGGCCCCCAACACCGGCAATTCTAAGCAACTCTTATTCGAACAGAATGATACATACACTTTTTCGATACGCGTATTCTTCTGCTAACCGGCTCAGCAGTCTCAGCACCCAGTGTAACGGTTTGCTTGATTATTCTGCTCGTACTGCAGCGGTGTTTTAGTGGGTGCTGCCGTGTCTGACGATATGATAAGGGAAAACGTTGACAGGTGGACAGTAACTATCGGTAGAGCAAAAAAGAATGTCTATGGACTAATTGAATTTGCCTGCTTGACTAATTTGATCCGTTTAGTTTCCCTGTTGTACATGTTTGTAACAATTTTTTTCCCAGAGGATTAACAACTGACAGTGTTGCGTAGGAAGTGCAGAGTCAACCTACTTGACGCGATCTTTTGTTTCAATCAATAACTTAACTCACATATTATTATTTTGTGTTTCAAAATTTATTTTAACACTTGTACCTTGTGATTGGAGAAAGAGATTCTACTACACCACTGGATTTGGCGTTTTCTCTCCCTGGAGAAAAGAGGCAAAACGAGAAGAAATATAAAGTCGAACGAGGAGCGTGTGGGAAGACGCGGCAGCGGGAAGGCCGGGAACGGGAAAATGTATGGGAAATTATTCCCGATTCGGGGAGAATCGGCTGCCTGGCTGCTGCGATGTTAGGGTGGCTTAGGATTGAGGTGGGAGGGGGAGTTGCTGTAGAAGAGGCGAGGGTGCACCACCCCGTGCACACAAATCACCAGAGAAAATATATTGTGGCACAGCGGGAACGGAGGGACGATTAAAAAAACGAAATGTTCTGCTAAGGAAAGCAAACGGGTTCTTATGTATGATGTGGCAGGGGGAATGAGTTCTTGCAGAGTTACTATGTGTTAGTAAACAAGTACATTTTCAAAAATTGGCGTCAACTCGACCTTTAATCTAAACCAGACACTTTGAGAAAATAGTCAATCAAACAGGTCCATACAATTAGTCCATAGACATTATTTCGCTGCACTACCGATACCTAGCGTGGGCAAGCGTGGCACCGCGGTAGCGCAGTCAGAGCATAGAAAACACTATGCTGTTGTGCAGCAGTAATATGGGGGATTCCATACCACAACACTCATCACGGTTGAGCCATATCGGATTTTTGAACAGACGAACAGAGCTTTTAAGTCTGATTTCCAAAATGTATAACGAGTCATACATTGACATTGTTAAAAAAACAGAATTTCCTAGGTAGGCCTTGAAATTATCAGATTGTCAATTGTTTTGCATACTAGATTTATCACAGAAATGTTTTTATTTTTTCCTGACTTTGTTTGAGATGCGATTTCGAAATAAATTGCTTGTTGTCATTGTTACTTTTTGTCTTCTACAAGATGACGCGTTCAAATTTTCAAGTCGAGGTTTCTTCTTTCGACTTCCATCACCAACTTTGTTTTTTATAAGCACGCAATATTGCAATCTTATACATTTAAATACTACTAAGAATGCCCGTGTATTATATTCACAACTTGATGCACAATCAAAAATTGTGTTTGATTGCATAAAATTTGAATAGGGAGTTCTCTAAGAAAAAACTAAGTTGAGGATGAAGTTTGAAGGCGTCTAATTGAGAATTTGAATACGACCACTTGTAGAGGAGGAAGTGTGGAAATGCTAATTGAAATCCCATTCTAAATAAATCATTCGGAGGGCTATTACGTAAAAAAATATAATGGCCATGGTGGTGTTGGTTGTAGAATGCCGAGATAGTCGGTAGAGTATACTCTGAGAAGATGTAAGGTTGAGTAGCAGAGTAGCAAGATCGCATCTGGATGATTGTGTGTGTTGGTCTGCATGTGTAAAATCAGTGATATTTGCTATGTGAGAAAATTAATAGTGAATACGCCCATGAAATATATCTACTCGTATTAGCTGTGCCAGACGGATTATTTGTGTTATCCGTCACGGAGATGTTATGCAAAGTTATTCATTACGATTTCCCCGTTTTTTTTTGGTTTTCAAAAACTTTGAAAAGCAGTACGGAAAATCAGCACCGCACCCGCGTTGTGTGTAATTGAACCGCATCACAGAAAAATTGGGAGTGACGAATCACGTACAAACCATTTTCGCACTGCCTCACATATAGGCGCTAATGTGAAATGTAAACATTTTTTTACGTTTCATAACTATCCCTGTATGTACCGTATTTTCTCACCTGTTAGTTTTAATATACTTCACCAACCAGGAATTTTCTTTTCTTATCGCTTCTTTTTCAGCAAATTTGCAATTAATTTTTAACTTTGCATACATTTCAAGTAAGTGTATTTGAGACAAGATACCAATGCAATTATCTTCAACACATATTATTAGCACACAAATCCTCACTATGCGCCTACGCATTGCCGTTTCCTTCCAGCTAAAGTATGCAACGTACAGCTTAAACCTCCAATAATACCATCTCTGAAGCAGATGTTACATCACATCAGGGCTATACATTTATAGTCGACGCTTAGGCAACACGTACGTCTAGGGAACGAGTACACGACAAGTGTACAACAGCTAGAGCTAAGTTGACATCATCACATTGAAATTCCGATTATGCCATCCTCTAGAGGAGTAAAAGTGGAAACGTTTATATGCAATTTATTGTCCAATCCCACTATAAATAAAGTCACGGAAAAATATAAAAGATTTTTTGAAAATTCTTTTATTTTCGCCACTCTCCGGAAGTACTTTGGCCTTCAAAAATGTTTAAGCGACATCTTGATATTTATCTAAATATACAACTTTGCCCCCATTTGAGGCATTTCGCATCTCTTATCGTTTCTGAGATCCGAATTGTGATCGTCGAATCTGAAACACCCGGTAAATAGATACACACGCGCGAAAAGCATTAGGTACCCTCTTTCTGAGTCAGTCGGGTGAAAAAACTTGCCCCAAATACGATGACTGCATTCTTCCCAGGCAAAGAAGGAAGCTCACAATATCAATAAGCCTGCTTCATCTCTTCCGTACCTCTTTCATGCTGAATATTTTAGCTTTAGGTCCTTGATGCACAACACCTTTGCCTTGGAAGCGAAAAGGCTGTCTGCATGTTTGCCCGCTAATCTTTGGCTCCGCTATAACTTGGAAGGAACCAGACGGATTTTGATGAAATCTTGACAAGTGAAGACTTGGAGCAAATAATGTGCTAAGTGCCAAAATTATTATTTTCAGATAAACAATATTTTTTGTTCTACAATGAATATATTTAAAAAATCATTCTGATAATTAAACATAGGTTTATTCAAGTAAGTATTTTTGTGTACCTACTTAGTATTTTCGGGAACTTTTTGTAAAAAATAGTAGAAACATTACAAAAATATAAATATTATGTGCTAAGTGCCAATAAATATAACATTGTTTATTCATATGGTTACTACAAAAATGACAAAATTAAAAATTACTCGAAGTTCTTTGTCGACGTTTCAGATTGCGCTGATCATTCTCAGAAAAAGATTATAGGGTTGAAAATTAGGGGTTGGGAGTTGTAGAGGTAGAAAATTGAAAATGTTATGTTGAAGTACAAGGATTTCTTAGCGTCGAGTGATGAAGGTACAGAGTGTGTAAAAGTTGACTTAAACAGATACTACGAGCATATGTGCTGCATATTCACAGACCATTTGTCGGAAGTAAATACACTCTGCTTAACGACGTTTTTTTGTTCGTCTCAATTGAGATTAGAAAGACTAGTCCAATATTATGTTTATGGTTAATAAGGAAACATGCATTGACATTTCTGTCAACAGTATTCATAAACAAATCTTTTATGGCAATCCTACTTCCCAGGTCTACTGGAACTATTAAAGTAAACTTTCGAAAATGAAATATGTTTCTTGGATGTTATACCGTGAAACTCTAATTTGGCTGACGTCTTAGTGTGTACGAGAGAGAAGCACGATAAGCATGCGATATGTATGTTTCAAAGGGATAGAAGCACCACGGAAGCCATCGGCACACTCTTTCTAACATACATATCGCACGCATATCCTGCTTCTCCCTCGTATAGTACACATTACGACGTCAGTGGTAGTTGGTTTTCAGTGTTACATTACCGATTTCCGTCAGTTGGTCGGTCCCGGCTATAAGTAAAATATCGCTGGGCATTTGATGAAATTGTCACATGAGATAACTACTGTGCCAAGGACGAAAAAGCTTTGCAATTTTTGAATGAAATCGGTCTAGTGGTGGTGGCGTGAAAGGAACAAGACGAAGGAAATAAAAATCGTTCAAACTTCATTTTTCGACGTTTCAGAGTGTTCTCAGAAACATTTTTGTAGGGGTGGTGGGGCAGGATATATCTCATTTCTTTGCGGGTTATTTATATGCTTCCAACTCTGATAATTCTATGCTCCTAACGTATGCCAAACACCATTGATTCTCCCGTAAATTTGCTATTAGAAATATTTACAGACGCGACACATGCAACAACCCTGCGTGCATCTGATTGCATGGTCGGCGTCTCAAGCTTGAGTTACGGTATGGCGGCTGGCGTTTATGTCATGGCAGCACTGTAGCTAGATGGTCGAGACTTGGGGCAGGGTTATCAAATGGGTGGGGATTATGGAATATGGAGTAATTGTATGGGTCTGTTTGGCTGACTTGATCCATTTGATTTATTTGTTATACGTATTCTTAGCTAGCTCAGAGTGACTATCTTGTACCAAACTCATGATAGCGTTGCGTGGGAAGCGCAGTCAACCTACTTGATGTAATTCTTTTCTTTCTCCCGCTTGCAGCAACATACCTTAATTGTAAAAAGCACAAAAGCATTAGATCCTAATTCGACCCGGGGACTAATTTCAGGCTGTCTCCTACTTCGAGGAATTGCCATTACCACCTGTTGACGACCCCCAATTAACGTGAATTTGCGTTTGGGCGGCGGGCGGAATCAAGCAGGCCTCGGCATTCGGCGTCTTCCCGTCTCGGCTGGCCATGCTAATGAACCACTAATAAAGCAATCTTGGAGATTCTGCCCTTCTGCCGAGGCGTCGATTTACCAGTAGACTATTCGATTAGGAAGGACGCAAGGATTTTCTCGAGATGATTTTATTTACCTTGCATCTTACCTTCCGATTTTACTTCCCACGCCATTCGCGAAGATGTATTGTAATTTGGAAAAATTTCGAAAATGACGTATCGCTCTTCCGCGAGAAAAAGTGACTAATAAAAAAAGTAGGTACATTGTTGGGAAACACGATTTAGTTCTTGTCATCATAATTGCTGCAACTTTTTAGCGGTAAGCATTTCAATCTATAGGAGATTATACAAGATATCTACGGTTAAGTGATAAACTAACTTATGCTAACCTTTGCCCAATAAACTCGTATTATTGTTATTATTATTATAATTATTATTACTATATCTTTATCACACTTTTTCTGATGAAAGTAGACTATATCTCGTGGTTTTTCTACGACTTATCTGAAAAACTAATATTTTCATGTTGTTCCGGATGAGCGATATTAGGTTTTTTTGATATTATATGACATCTAGATCACGACAATCCATTTAACTGATTTCCATCCATCATAAAGATTTTTGTAAATATTTGGATGACTCGGGACATACATTTTTCTGAGAATTTACTCACTGCGCTCACTGTTTGGGCTCTGAGAGTTTCATTTTTCTAGTCTGCAGTTTTGCCAGGTTTATCAGTGCATTCCAAAGTCTGCAGGAGGGCTTTTGCGTTGTTGTAATATTCATGCCACGAAGGGATCGTATTTAACACCAATATATTTTTACTTCTTACGGCAGTGTCTGTCAGTTGATCCTTGGTCGGTTTATAACTCGGAACAAACCAGGGATTTTACGCAAGGTTAATTTTATGTCAATAATAAAGTAGCTTTGTAGTTTTTAGAGATCAGTATAGTGGCGATGGAGAAACGCGCCAAAAAAGAAAAAAGAAAAATCGCTCCAATTTCTTTTTTCGACGTTTCAGCGCATCCTGATTTTTTTGAAACCGTTGCACGGTGTATTTATAAACTTCTAACGCCAGTATTTCTACGCACCTATTAGGCATATTTCACACATATATGTTACACCGAATGTTTGTCCTTGAAATTTAGGATAGAAGTATTTTGTAAATAAAGTACACTAGCCGCTGATTGCTCTCGAGCGAACATCCGGGCGACGAATTCGCTAGCTGGACAGCTGAGAAGCGGTCTACGATTCTCCGTCAAAGTAACAGACATGAAAATATAGTTACGCTTCTTTTCTTTGATCACTTGAACAAACGTACATACAGTAGATATCAGTAAGTCTCCCGTATTTACCTAATATATGACTTATATTGATGAATAAACTAGTGTGCAAGCTGACATTTTACCGATTTTTTTTTACATTATATAGGTTTCTTACGTAATAACCCTGCAATCTTCTATAGCGTGCTAGATACCTAAGCTACTATTTACACTATCAATAATTGAAGAATATTTTCTATTTAGACTGCTACAACTGTAACGTCGAACAATAAAAAACAAACCTAAGATAGCTAATACAAATTCGCACTCTCTATCCATCCTAACAACTTTAGTTCCATGCATCGAAAAACGATAAATCACAGCATTATACAAACCGTTATTGATACTTCCAGTGATAGTTCGACAACAACCTTTATGCAAACCATCAACATTCCCCATTGAAAGCCGCCTATTAGTTTCAACCAGCTCATAACGGACGCATTTACATGAAAAATCACTAAATCAATGACCAGGTAACAGCCAGGACACGTACAAGTACCCCATCTAGTTTGCCACTTCACTTTATGCACATTCCAGGTATGGATATGAATATTATGATTGTTAGCTTTCTTGCCGGGGAAGTCGATTGAAATAAACAGTATGTGCGCGAATGTAATATGAAAGTATGAGTCTTTTGACTTGCTTGTAACGATTTTATTAGTTTTATATCTACTAGACCGGCAAAACTGCGATAGGTCCTTGGAAAACGTCAACTTTTTGTCTTTTTTAATTTTATCACCTCCACAATGTGATGCGTTTACTACGTGTGGCAGTGGCCTTTTTATAACATATGATTAAAATACTGTCATGCTTTACCATGCAAAATAGAACACATTTAATTTTTTTTATTATACAATCAATCTTTCGATATTCATTTCCATTACGCAAACATATTATAAATCTACTATGTATTTATTTTTAGTCTTCATGGATAAAGCGATATTTTTTAGCCATAGCGTTTAATTTACGAACAATTTGAAATAACTTAAAAACCTCATAAGTAACACCACCAGAGAAATTCTTATTAAAAGTGGATTCCAAAAATGTTTCACAAAACATTTTGCACTTTTGAGCACCCAATGATAATGCAGAATATTTAAAAAGTGGAAGAATTGGGTTGAAATTGAGGATAACAGACATTTCTTAACACAAAATTCGCTGCTCCATATGTTAAGATAGCAGACGTGCAGGTTGTCAAATTTCCGCGTTTTTTTCAGATAAAATATCTATTAGCCCCACAACTAATAATTGAAACCTATAAGTATGCCATAACAATTATCCCTTCAAGCTGCATAGTTGTATTGTATGAATCTGGCCCCCGACAGCATATACTATAACCCGCAAATAGTTTTCTCTGAAGAATATATTCAACATCACATAAATGAATAAGCCACAAAAGGCAAATCGTTGAGCGTGGCATAAAACATGAATAATTCTTGTGGAATAAATCATCGAGATAAGAGAAAGTAAATTAAAAAAATTCATGCAGTTTTGTATACGATTCTAAACAGCAGAGGAAGAACGTCTGTGTCAAGATATTGTTTAAAGATGTGATTTTTCAAGGCGTAGATAACTTTTTGTGTTTTCTATAGGTGTTTTCACTCAATTTTTTTCATGAATTCTTCTTATATCTATGGGCACACTGTTGGAACATTCTGTATCTGAAAAGCTATGAAATCTAGAGTAATATACTTTTATTTGGCTTTGGTGTTATAATTTTGGACGGTTTGCTTCGTATATCGTAATTATGGTCTAAATATGGAATGGGTTTACTTCCAGGAATCATAAGTATAATTTTATAAAAATACAATTTATGTAAAGCTAAAAAATCTGCAATGTTGAACTGCTGAATTGTCGGATGTGTTAGGTATAGGTTTATTATATATTTTCTCTGGAATACTTTTTTGTGTTCGATCTAGGGGTGAAATGTCTAAATTTTGTGCTACACCCCCACCCTGTTATAGCATATGAGATACGGCATATTATTTTCATTTGAGGTATTACTAAGAATTTTGGTTTTATAGAGTAGATTTTCTTATGACAAAATTTATGTGGATATCCCACTTCAGATGTGTATCTATGAAACTCTAGAGGTATTTGATAATAATAATAAGATAGTGTGTAAATAATTAATCTGCAATTAAATCCATACCGGTATGCCGAGCATCGGCAAGCAACTTAGCTGGAGGAATACACAAAGCGGTCATCCTCGATTCCCTCCGTCCATAGACGTTGTAGCAGACCGCAGGTTACGCACAACATGGCCTTACCGAGACGCTGATGAGTCGGGCCTCGCGGAGGTTAGGGTTTAGGGTTTAGTGGGTATTCGGTAGTCTCCTCAAGACAACCTGGAGTCCCACACACGCCGTAGCTCGGACTATGGTAAGGTGCCTAAATGCATTTCCCCCTTACAAAAAAAACCTCCGTCCACTTAGGGCACACGATTTGGGGACCAACTAGTTGCTTTCCTCACGGTGTGAGGAGTGGTTAATGGAACAGCAGCTTGATGTGTCGGAGCCCAAGTTACCTACCTATTTTGTCTTCCCTTTTCCTTTATGAAAATAATGTTTATTTTACTATGCCCAATTTGCTGGTGAAGCAAAGATGTACTCGTAAATGTACAATAACCTAAAACGTTACACGTGACATCGATTTGATATGTTTTAGATAGCAAGCTTTATCTTTAAATTGTCCATTGAAATCAAAATGGTTGTACACATGCAGATTTTTTAGCACATATTAGCTTAGCTAAAAATTCTGATAAGCACATTAGAAGTATGTAGGGTAAGGAGGAGTAGCACTCGTGTTGTACGGGTATTAGTAAACAATTTCCACTATCTTTCTTGTCTGTTGTCTATCAATTGAATCCTTTTAATAAATTTTTTATCATAGACGAGTTTATGTTATCAATATACATACGGTACATGTATGGCAAACAATTATAAATCTTACTTAACAGGTAGGTGTGGCATCGTAATTTCTTTGCAAAGTTTGTATTTTTAAGTTTTCATTTTCTTTATGTCTTGTACTATAAGACTAGGGCTATTGAAGTTGATTTTGAGTTTGTACATGTATTGAATGAGTTGATGCAAAAACAGTTGCCTTAGGTCCAACACCACAGTCTCTGACAGAAATTTATCAGATGGATAAGTAATATTTTTGCTAGATATGACTTTTAGCATTCTGTTTTGCAGTATATCTAGAGGCTGCAAATGTGCAATATGCGGCACTGCCCCAACTCAAAATATGAATAATATATACTAGTGAATAATACAACATTTTCAGGTACATGTAGTATGTGAGATTTTTTAAGTATTTTAAGCAATGAAATAGTTGTCGTAAGGTATTTATAGCGTTAGTTATACAAATACCCCATCTCAAGTGGCAATCAGTGTGGCACCTAAGTATCTATTGATTTTCACAGATGTTAAAGGTAGTCTACCTTTTATTTTGATTTATTACCTATTTATTAAAAGTTGTTCTATTATAAGTTTTGGTTATGATGTGTGATAAAATAAACGACATAAAGTACATTTCGCTTAGTACAAAATATGTTTTTAGACTTGACCATGAATTTGACTGATAAATTATTGCTGTAGGTAATTATTTTGCATTTTCTTTTAATTTTCGAACAAATCGTTCAAATACATAATAAATAGGAAGGGTTCTAGTACTGTGTTCTGCGGGTTACAATA